GCGCTCTAAATCAAGGAAGCGGGTTCCAGACCGACATCCCAGCGGTAGCGGTTTTTCTTTGTAGAGTCATGACAGAGGTATAATTAAGTCTTTATGAAAGTCAACTTTCTGGCTGGCTGCAACGTTGGCTATAAAAAATAGGCATCATTGGCCAGCGTTAGCTATAGTAACCGGATTGCTGCACTTGATTTCGAATAAATCAGCTGCTTTAACGAAAGGTTTTGAGTAAGATTTAATATTATTTCAGATCCGTTGATATCAGATTCACTATTCAAGGTTCATTTAGTGTACTGCTCACAACTGGCGCCATTATACTGGCACCACGTCAAAAAATAGTCTCAGCCAGTACATCATGTTGTCTGCCTTTGGTCACAGGAAATGACACTGATTGAGTAATGACCCAAAGTTCATGAAATGCGTTTGCTGGTACCATAACCGCGGTATTGCCGTGAATGGTATATAACTGCATGATTTGACCTTGTAATATTTATTCACTATTAAGACTTAACTTCCATACAGAGCGACATCCATTTTGCTAGTGGCAGTGGGGCGGTTACTATGTTGTCTGTGCAACACTGGCATCTTTCATTTTCAAGTATGCCAGGCAACATCTTCTGATAGTAAAATAAATATTGTGATCTTATCCTACCATTCGTGGAGAGAAGGTTGACGTATGACACAATTTTGGAGTTGTAGTCAGATGGCCAAAAAAATCATATCTTTGTTTCAGACTGATCAGCAATGTTGTGACCTTGCCTAGCCTGTCTAACGCAGTACAGTAGCCTTTCGACCAAAGTCCTCAATGTGAAAAACATTCTCAGTTTAAAAGATAATCTCTTTCTTGATTCAATGTATAAAGCCAAAATACGTATTTATTTCTCTGTGAAATCAAATTTATGTACTTGCCTGTTACTTGATACTTTTGCAGCCAAATGACATTGATTAGGCATAGTTAATCTGAACTGTAATTAACTGCACTCTGTAATCAACAAGAGCAAACTGATTTAACTCTTTCGGGGCACATTTTAACAGCATACAATTCAAGCGCACAAGGAGCAAAGAGTTACAAATTCGTGTAATTAATTTAAATCATGCCGCCAAAGAAATCATCGGACTTTTACATTAGGTTCTATACTAGCCAACAGATTCAATGAAGAAGTTTTCCAATCAGTTGGACACTAGTCTAAAATAACTTGTCGTTTTGAAAAGCGGCTGTAGATGATTATGGAATGACTACTTCTTCCAATTCAGTTGTTGTGGTGCAATATCTTGTAACGATTGAATTGTCGACTTATTATTTTTTCCAAAAAAAATTGAAATTTGGAATTTATAACTTCGTTTTCAACTGACAGACGTCTTAGGTGCTAAGGCGAATAGCAACTATTTGCAGAACATGCGTCCAGTAGTCTGGTTTCATATTACCTATGATCTGGTGCGGTCGCAGTGGGACTCTGTACTGTTTCAGCGGGTTTGTAGTCCTTCGAAATGTTACTGGTTTGTTCATCGGTAGCAATAAAGTGAATTCCTTATATTTCTGTTTGTACCAGCTACTTTGACTTATTCCAGTGCCGAAATGAATGATGATTTTTCATGTGGTTATACCAGGTTCTAGGGTAATGTAGCATCGCCCCTTTTTTTCTAGACCCCAATGGGAGCAACTTTAACAACGCACGAATTTATGGCATTTGAACATCGTCAAGTGATGGATGCAATGGCATTGAGACTGTACG